GACAGGTAGCAGAGTCTTGGGTGGGTACTACTGAATTGGTCAGGAAGAGCATGTCTCAATAAAGTTCTGCTGGAAGAGAAAAAGGCAAGCCAAATGAATATATGGCATAAGAGCATTTCTTAGAGGGAGAAAGCAAGATGAAGAAATATTTTCATTAGAATAATCTAATTAGACCATCCATATAATTTTCAATTTAATTTTTATATACTCTCCCTTTTAAATCTAGTTTCTGGCACTGAAGAAGAGGTATCTTCCCTGGAAAATGATTTATTTTAGCAAGCAGCACATAGGTCTCTAAGTTAACCTATTTCACACTGGTGTAAGTAGGTGAAGAGAGATGACCATCACTTACGCCTACTTGTTTAGGGGAACCTATGTATTTGCTGGTGAAGCTATGCCACTGTATTGTGCTTTTATTGTTCTGGGAATTGAAGCTTCCTCTAATTTCACCCTTCTCTTAACTCTATATCTTTCTTTTCCCAATTTTTTTTCCCAATATAAACACATTGTATTTTATTTACCCTACTAATTAGAAAATTAAATCTCTTTTAAAACTACATATTAAGCAAACAAAAAATAAAGCAAAAAAAGGAATTAAAGTCATTTTTTAAAATCAAGGAGACAAAGGTAATAAAAATAAATGAAAGAAAATTACTAAGAAAATAGTATGGGAGGATCAAATTGAATTATTCTAAAGCAGAGTAAGTTTGATGATTTGCAAAATACTGTATTTAGAAGGAACTTTTACTGTGGTATCCTTTTCCCTCAAGGCAACTGCGCTCACTTCCATAAAGGAGGCTGGTGGTACAATGCCTGTGCTCATTCCAATCTGAATGGAGTGTGGTACAGAGGAGGCCAATACAGAAGCAAACACCAAGATGGGATTTTCTGGGCTGAATACAGAGGCGGGTCATACTCCCTGAGAGCAGTTCAGATGATGATAAAGCCTATTGACTGAGGAGAGAAGGTTTCCAATTTAAGCCACACAAAATTCCTAATTCTTCAGTTTCCCAAACTGTAAATGCTACATGTATATTACTTTGCAAAATTTATTTCTATATAGTTTGTAAAATGAATTTTTCTACAACTAGAAAAAAGATCTGTGAACGTAGTTTTCAGTATACTTCAGATAATTATTTGTATCCATATTCTAGTTATTTCAAAAATTATATTGAGTGAACACAGGTAAAGTTTATTTTCTAAAGTGTAAATATTTGTCATAATGTAAAACAAATCTTAGTATTTTAAATAAAAATTACATGTTCAAGATATTTAACAATTTACTTTAAAAATGTAAGAATGATCTAACTTCCAATGAAAAAATAATTTTAAGATTTCAGTGAAGTAATGCATTTTATTTATAAAAGTACAGACAGGAAATTAGAGAAATCTCTAGTTTTGCCAATAAAAATGCTTTTTCCATTGAATAAAAATGCTTTCAAATTGAATTTGTTGCATTCCCATTTAATAATAATGTTACATTTGACTTGTTGGTGTATGTTATGATTTCCCCCAAAGAACTAGATGATCCACACTGTGAAATACTTACTTTAAAAATGAAGCAACAACAATAACAACAAAAAACCCACCACAAATAACACATACATTATTTAAATGGGAAATTCATCAAGAAACATATACAAATAAATTTCTTCTATGAAATGATGAACAAAATTTCCTGCAATGCATTTTTTTAAATACCAGGGAATGAACTCAGGACCTTGTGCTTGCTGAGCACAAGTGGCAGGTGCTTATGCCACTATGCTATTTTCCTAGCCTCCTGGAATGCAGGAGTAAATGCTGATATTATTAAAATGCAGAATATTTGGTGTACCGAAGTTTTATACACTTAAATTATAATTTAAAATATATCTATTAGTGTTCTTGTACCTCTAATTTTTTGGTCTTTTCTGTTGAAAAAAATCCTATCTGCAACTCAAGTCTAAAAGCTTGGACAGCTTCACAAGTATTGGTATTAAAGGAGCTTTAGGGAACTGTTACATTGTCCCAACAATGAGGATCCAATAGCTTTAGAGCAGAGTCCACAGGGGTGCAGCTAGTCCAAAATGTTAATTCCACTTATAGTGTGTGAGTAATTTTAGTTTAGCCTTACTTTGCCTCTAACTCATTATTACAATTAATAACTTTACTAGGATCTTCTGAGACACCCGCCTTCCAAAAATAAATTTATTACTTAGAGATCACTCTAAGGTTTTTTTAATTTGCTCAAAAACTTACAAAAATCCAGAAACACCAATAGTTGGAACTGGCAAAGACATTAAAACTGGAGAGATCTGATTCTGTCTATGATTTATATGCAAAGCCTTACAGCTGCTACTTTTATTTATTTCATATATGTTCTCCAGTAACTAACATAGGAATAAAATTAATAAAGCTCTACCCTCAGTTCTTTTGTATCAGAAGTCGGTCTAAACTAAACTTCAGAAAATATATCAAAAGAACATCAGAAGAAGTTTAAATATATGAGAGGGTCTAAATGAATATAAATGAAGTAATGGAAAAGGGGAATGTAATCTTGGCTAAAGAAAAAGCTAGGGCTAGCTGCCACTTGTTCAGAATTCATGCTCAGGATCCAAAAGAAAAGGACTAAATATGATCTACTGCTGTTTTAGAACAGAATATATAATAATATATAATCAAAACAATAGAATAGTGTCTACAAATCAAAGAAATGAATAAAACTTTAAAGTATGAAAAGTCAATGACATTTTTTCACGATTAGCTATTTTTTGAGATGACTGTCACATCCTTTCACGTATTTAGTCAAATACTCCAAAAAGAAAGGAAAATATTCCATTAATTCCAAAAGAACTATATAGCAAACCTTAGTCTTTGTTGAAAGTACCTGCATTTTAAATAGATGTATATAGCTTAAGAAAATTTTTTTTCCTTCTGTCTTTTTGAGACAGGGTCTCAGTATGCCATTTAGGCTGACCGTGGGCTCACTTTGAAGCTCAGGCTGGTCTGGGGCTAGCAACCATCTTCCTGCCTCAGCCTCCCAAGTGCTGGGATTATGGGTGTGCACCACCATGCCTGGCTAAAAATTTCTAAAAGTAATGTGAAACTATATTCTACTTGAGAAATCAATATTCAACACAATATATGAAAAAAAAAAAGACCTAATAAAACTCAGATTCTTCTAAATTCAGGTATACTTTTAAAATTTTCACCACCTGTGATGAGTATAGTACTATAAAGCAAAAGACAGTTATACATCTCTTCCATTAATGGCAAGGACAAAATCCATTTCACTCATATTTAGCACCAAACACAGCACTATGCAAATGCTGGTTGCCAGCTGAGACATTAAAAGAAAATGGGGTGAGTAAACAAACAGTTGACTTACAAAAATGTTACATGTAGGACGTGGTGGTGTATGCCTGTAATCCCAGAACTCAGGATGATGAGATAAGAGGACTGCTATGAGTTTGAGGCCAGCCTGGGATACACAGTGAGTTCAAGGTCAACCTGAACTACATATGAAATCCTTCTCAGAAAAAAAAAAAATAAAAGAAAAACTCATACACATATTTATTGTATTTAAACAGAAATTAAAACAAAGTTGTAGGAACAATGAGAAAAGCCAACAGAATCATTTATTAATTACTTTGACAAATATTACGTATACTAAATGCTTACTTTTGCTTATCCATAAGAACAAAGCCTTGAACCAAGACAAAAAAGGGCCTAAGCTCTTGCTGGGGATGAGGTACATTAATGAACATATCATTACAGAAATAAAAGCAGAGTATTTTTCAGAGAAGGGCACTATACTGAAGAAAGTTAATGAATCTTTTCTTAAAAGAAAATCTTAATTAAATGCTTCTTATAATAACCTGACATTTTCAGTTGGCAAAAAGAGGAAGAGGGGAGTGGAGTTGTCTCTTTCAGAGAAAGGAAGAATTCTATCTAGATATAGTGCAGTCATGTACTGTGGAAAGGATGGAGATTTTGCAAAAAATTCTCTGTAATATCTTGCTTCTACTCAACAGTAAGTAATATACAATACTAAAATAATTTACTTTTAATATGCTATGTAATTATTGATTTTCAATAAAGTTAATGAAAAAAATTTACTTATTTTTATAGTTATAAAAATATGCTTTCTTTTCCAGTAAACATCCTAATCTAGTTGAGGTACTACTGCATTTTCCTATTTTATATGAATAAAGTAGAAATAAGGTGCGGCAAATACACATGAAAGCGTATTTATCATGTTTCACATAACTAAATTATTTTAGTATGACGTACATTTTCTCTTTGCAGCAAAGCACAATTTCCCATGCCAAATTCCTCAACAAGCCCCTTAAGATTATTTATTCTCCAATGACAAGAACAAATGAGTGCTGTTAATGATTTTCAGATTTAAAACAATAATTCTCATATAAAACAAATTTTTCCTTAAGATTTGCCAAACCATTTCTCTCTTGACAAATTGTATCTTTGTTCTAAGAATTTTTCACTGTATTGTCCAAGATGACTAATTTTTTACTTTGAGTGCAAACCAAAAGAAGAGACAATTTTTTCAAGAGATGAGTAGAAAGCCAAGACTACATTTTCTACTGCTTATAATTTAATCCATATTGAGTTACTGATGCATTTTGCAGTATAAAGAGTTTAAACATCATTTAATGCCTCTTTTTTAGGTTTCACAAAGAATGTTTCTTTTTTTTTTTTCCCTTATATATTTGGGTACAGAGTCTCACTATGCAGCTCAGACTCGTAGTGATCCCTCCTGTTTTAACCTCCCCAGAGCTGAGATTACAGGTGTGCACCGCCACACCCGTTCTCCAGGGAATCGAACCTGGGACCCTGTGCTTGTTTAAGCAGGCACTTAGTCAACTGAGTCATCTCACTGGTTCTAGAATGCTTGCCTTTGATAATTATTTTCAGCAGAAAAAATTTTCACCTCTCTCATATTAATAGATCATTATTTGCTCCTTTTGAATCTGAATCACAGATTATTTTGGTTGATAACTTTTTCCTTAAAAACCTCTGATAAATGCAATAGATAAATGCAAATTCTGTACATCCAAAGAACAGTTAAATGACACTACCATTTTAACAAAGAGCATCATTTTTGGAACATCTGCAGGCCAAGTTCTGTGCTATCAAAGATACAATATCTTCTTTTTTTTTTCCTCTTTTTTAGACAGGGTTTCACTACACAGTTCAAGCTGCCTTTGAACTCACTTCTGTAGCCCATGCTGGCCTCAAATTTGCAGTGATTCTCCTGCCTCAGCCTCCTGAGTGCATGTGCTGCCACATTAGACCTTATGCAGTCATCTTATTAACTTAATTTGGTAATTAAACTGTCTGTTTTCATATGAATGGGAAAAGATTCTAAAAATCAAGATTAAGTTAAACTTTAAAAATCAAAACCTAGGGCTGGCCAAATAGCTCAGCAGATTAAAGTGCCTGCTTAGGCAGGCACAGGGGCTTGGAGTTCAATCCCTGGGCCTGCCATGCTGGCCCCGCCCCGAGACGGCAATTAAGACTGGGTGTGGTGGCGTGTGCCTGTAATTCCAGCTCTTAGGAGGCTGTAAACAGGCGGATCACTATGAGTCTGATCTACACAGTGAGACCCTGTACACCCTGTCCTAAATTAAAAAAAAAAAATCAAGACCTAATTAAATTTAAGTGAGAACAAAATATGACAAAAATAAACATTAACTAATGTTAAAATTTCAGTTCTTCAACAACTCAATACTGAAAACCAGAAATTTTAAAAACAAGACACTTATGATGTGAATCAGGCAGTCAAAAGGCTGTATACAAAGTGTGCCTCACATTTCTTACGGAAGGATAAGTATGCTATAAATAAAATTACTCTGAAGGGTTGATACAAAACTGTCACTACACTCAAAGGATGATTTTTATGCTTGAAACAAACTATAAGTGAATAAGAGTAACTTATCTGAGTAATGTTTCATTTCTCAAGTGTATAGCGTTTATGCCAAATGGCTCACAATCGTCTCAATCCACTTGTTTCTCCATGTAACAGTACAGAGATGAAGTATATAAACACTTTTGATACCTAGAATTATGCAGGCGCTAAAGTATATGTTCTCCATTTTACCATGTGTTAAGGTTTTGGCCATTTTTTTTCCGTTTTAGTTTCAAATTCTTGGGTAGAACTCAGACAAGTCTCATCTTCTGCTAGAGAATGCAGGAAGTAGAGCTTCATCAACTGAAGCAGGCCACACGAAAATACATTTATTGTATTGAAACAGAAATTAAAACCATAGCAACAATGGGAAGAGCCAGAAAGGGATTTAGTTAGTTGAACTAACAAATATTTATTATATAATGCTCACTTTTACAAGCATCAGATAATGCTTTTTCCCTTGTTATCTCTCTGTATTTAAATGAGTATAAAACATGAATTTATATACATGATGTACATAAACATGATGGGACACACAGAATTTAAAAATTCATATTAGGTCACAACTTTGGGAAAACATAAAACAAATACTCCTAAACAAAAGGATTAATCTGTTTTGTCATTTTCTCATTTTTAATAAAAATAATTTTTGTCCAGAAAATACTGAAATTTAATGTGAAAAAGACAATTTAATGAGGAAAAAAATCCTATGATCAGTACATTTTAGCATGAGAGCTGAGCAGGTATAAACGGAGCATACTAAGCTACAACTTCATGGCAGATTTTTCATTAAGTGTCAGGGCTCTGAGTCAGAGCTTTCATCTTTTTGGACCTTAGCTTTTTCAACTGTGAAATAAATGAACTAAAAGGCATCAATATAAACCCACCCACCCCTAAGAACATGATTCTGATCCTGCACATGCTTTTCCAGACAAACAGAACAAACTTCAAAGTCGACGATTCTATAGCTAAGTACACTACAGCAGAGCTCCTTTGAAACTAAGGATTGTCAATTCTCAGTCTATTGTAATGTTTTTCATGCAATAAAAAGCTTGTTTTGTGAATTATGAAGTTATTTTTTTTAAATCCTCTATTCTCTTTTCCCCTAAACTAAATATATTCAAGTATGAGAACAGCCAAGATCACCATAAAAAGCAGAACACATGGCTGCATGTGGAAGTTCACATCTGTAATACTAGTCACTCAAGAGGTAGAGCAGGAGGATCACCAATATGAGGCCAGTCTGGAACACATAGACGCTGTCTCAAAAAAAAAAAAAAAAAGGCAAACACATACTGTGTAGTGGTCCTCACTGTATTACGCTTAAGGGCATTTTGCTTTCAGCACTGGGAACCCAGCACGTGACTCCCTTTCCCAGTGGAATCCTAGGAAGCCCTGTAATGTTGGATGAATTCAACTTTTCTACAGAGACTAAACAACTGAATAGATATGTATCTACTGTCTCTGTCCCTTATATTCTAAACATTGGTAAAGATTTCAAAGTTTATGAACTCTCAACACTTTTCATTACTGTTATCATTTTTCTTGAAATTAAGTGTAGGCAGTTAGATAAAAGAGCAAAAACGGGAACCACAGATACTAGAAACAAAGAAAGGCTTTTTTTTAATTTTTTTTAGGTGGAACCGGGGATTGAACTCAGGCCTTTGCACTTGCCAGGGAAACAAACAAAGGCTTATTGCTTCAATACCCTACAGAAGATCAAATCAACTTCATTTATCCTAAAAATATATAAACTTCTTTATGTTTAATTGAAGACAAATTTAATGGACAGTTTGTGCAAGACTTATTTTCACTCAAAATCTAACAGTCTTATTCAAATTTTGTTGAAAATAATCATTATTGGTTAAATAGTTCTTGGAATCTATAAACAATGGTAAGATAATAGTAAAGAGACAAATTTACAGAAATGAGCTAAACTAAATTTCCAGTTAAACAACTGATTTCACCCAGCTAAACAATAATACTGGTATTTATTGAAACTACTCTTTACAGTAAAATATCTTCCAATGATATAAGAATTTGGATCAATGTCTTCAGTGAGTGTATTAAACTTCAATGTAAGTTAATGTTTTATTCTTTAAGAGTGTTATTAAAACATCTAAAGCACACCATTTTCACCACATGGCTCATTTGTATGAAAAAAGGCTAATTAAATATGAAAACACATTTCAGGTAATGAGGATGATAACTGTCATTTTTTTCAGCTTAGCAATCTTGCAGTAATTTATTTTCAAGACACATAAACTAAAAAAATGCCTTGAATTTTTTATGTACTAAATAAGGAAGAGCAACAACTAGGAACAATAAACACAGTAATATAACTCACCTAAATAGGGAATGCAAGGTGTCATCTTTAAGCTACTTATATAGTCTCTGAGTCTTTTGTAGTTATCTTCTTTACTCATTACATACTCTAATTTTTCAAAAGTAGTTTTGTCTTTTCGACTTAATAACTAAAAAACAAACAGAAAAGCCTAAGTTATTTACAAGTTCCATTTTATTGTAGCAAAGACCTGAAGTTGTATTTACTATAAATTTGGATTTTAATTTAAGTTATACTTTCCTTAATTATATTTTGCTTAATATACAAATAAAAAATCAGATGTCTATTAATAACTCAAATTATTTATAAATGTACATAATTAACTAATAAAATACATTATATTTCTCATCTTTACTATTTTAAATGATTAAGCAATTTGTTGATCATTTTTATAAAACATAATTATACACTCATTCAGGTCTAATGTCTAAATATTTTATTGACTACCTCCCCAAAGATAAGGTCATTTTTGCATAATCATAAAGAAATACTGAATTTTCTAAGTAGCAACTTTCCTTGAGCATTTTAATGTTGGCTAGTCCTAATAAAACTTTTGATTCCCTAGTTTTGAACTTGACAAGACCTTCTGCCTTGGTCAGCACTTCATGCCCACAGCATGAGAAGAGGCTTGAGGGGCAAACGTGTAGTGCATGAGCGCTGGCTGAGACCAGTGGGGCTTACGAAGGGCAGGAGAAGACATGCAAGGTTCATCAGTCGCCACATATTAACTACAAGGTTCAGAAATTTTTTTAAATCATATCAGAGACCAATAAAATTTTTTTCTTTAAATGTATGCAGCACCTATTTCATTATATGTTACAAGATTTCACTTTATTTCATGTCAGAATATCAGTGTTATTTTACAGCATGCAGACACTTCTACTATGTAACTATCAACTAATTTTCTTATGATGTCGACAGAAAAATCTGAATGAAGACGAGCACGCTATGAATTCAAATGTGACCACAGGATTAGCAGAATATATTAATACTCTCCAGTCATGCACTCATTCATAAATACGTATGCTTTTTTAACTCTCACAATCTGGCTATGGAGAGAATATTCTGATGTAGTCTTCCCTACAAATAGTTCAGTCAGAATCTACTTTTTATGATTAAGCAATTTTAAGTGTGTCAACACAAATTATTTACACCTAATTTCTATCACAAAAATGAATAATATTGCCTCTTTAAAATATGGTTTCAATGAATCTTTTGCTTTCATGTTTTAGAAAAAAATTTCCATTGTCTAACAGTTTTATTATCTTTCTCTATATCCATTTCAAAGCAATTTATTAGCATTCTCCAGTAAGGTACAAAACTCTGCTTGCTACCAATCAACCATTTTGAATAACAAAGTATTCAGACAAGCAAAACAGTTACAAAATGTTGTAGAAATAACAATAAACCAATCATAATGCACACACTCAAAAACACATACTAAGAGAAATAAATTATTTGAAATGCTTAACTGATCTTGCTACATATGAAATACAAAATCACAGTAAAAGTCTACTTTTGAAATGTTCATAATAAACCAGTAACCAGATTAGTAAGATTCAATTATGCAGTAGAATTAACAGATGAATATAAAGCAACATTTCAATGCAGATATTTCCCTAGTGATACTCAGAACCTTGATATGACTATGAAGGCCTTTCTTTCTCAGTTTTGGTGTTTGTATTATCTTTTATATCACTTTATTATATTCTCCTTACTAGAAAGGAAAAGAAAAAAAAAGAAAGAAAGAAAAGTAGTTCTTAATATTATAACTCCCCAGGTCATAAGTAGTCTTTCTGGCCAAGAATATAAAAACCGAAAGAAAAACTCTTCATGTTTCCATTGGGATTACTGAAAAAGAGAACCACAGAGTTCTAGACATATGTTTATCCATCCAACACCACAATACACCTGTTCATGCCAGGTGTGGTGGCCCATGCCTATAATCCCAACACCTGGGAGACTGGGGCAGGAGATTCGCCATGAGTTTGAGGTCAGGCTGGGCTACATACTGAGTTCAAGACCAGCTTGAACTATACATACAACGAGACCCTGTCTCAAAAAACAAAACAAAACAAAAAAACCCAAAACAGACACATAGACACACATGCAAAAAAACAGTATGTTTACTCATGTCAGTCACTATTAAGAAATGTGTGACTCAACAGATTATCCCTCATACCTTGATTTGTATTCCTGTACAATATGTATAAAGATATTTACTTGCATAAGTATTCATCTATGACTTTGGGTACAGATTATAATCTGTATAATTATAATATAATAACTAATTATTGATCAAGACATCAATAATTATTTGTTACTGGTATGAGTTGTTAAATTATTTTAAATTTTATACCAAATATATATGCATTATCCTCGTACATAAGAACTACACACCAGTATCGTACCTACCTATACATTCCTTCTATATCTCACTCTTTTGACTATCTTTAAGAATGTGAGGCTTTTATCAGTAAATGGATATAACTAGAAACCATACTCCTTTTTAACATCTTTTATTTATGTATTTGGTACTGGATCTCACTATACAGTCCAGATTCATAGTGATGCTCCTGTCTCAACCTCCCCAGTGCTGGGATTACAGGTGTGCACCACCACATCCAGTTTCGCTGTCTGGCACAGTGCAAGGCTAGCATGGCATCTAGGACCAGAGATCGAACCTGGGTCCTTGTGTTTGCCAGGCAGGTGCTTAAGCCACCGAGCTATCTACCCAGTCCTGAGACCATACTCTTTTAGTGAAATAAATCAGACCTGCATGTGTAAACACTGTATTGTCTCCATAGTGTAAGAACCTGAATGAGTAAATAAAATTGGGGGTACAATAGGTACTGTGAAACGGGAATGAACCTATTCATTTTTTTTTTTTTAATGTATTCAGTACAGGGTCCACAGGGTCTCACGATACAGATCGGACTCGTAGTGATTCTCCTGTTTTCAGCCTCCCAAGAGCTGGAATTACAAGGGTGCTCCATCATGCCCAGTTTCAATCGCCTCTCAGCACACCCTGGGGGCAGGAATGGCACAGCACACCAGGGATTGAACCCTGGCTGCTGCACTCTGCTTAAGCAGGTGCTTTAGTCCACTGAACTATCTGGCTAGCCCTGGAATGAACCTATTCAAAAAGAAGGAATTACTGAGATAAGGTGGAGAACAGGAAATGGAATGGGGAAAAGAGATATAAGATATATCTATGTATATAAGCAGGATGGTCTGGATAATTGTACTGTCTAGTTTTGCTGGTCTATGGAAAGGAGCAATTAATGTTTAATTTTTTGTTTTTTCATTTTCCCCCTTTTTCTCTTTTAATTTCTTTAATCTCTCTCTCTCTCTCTCTCTCTCTCTCTCTCTCTCTCTCTCTCTCTCCCTCTCTCTTTCTTCCTTCTTCCCCCTTCCCCTCTCCCTCTGCGTCTCTCTCTCCCCTCTTTCCTTTGGTACTGGGGATTGAACTCAGGACTTTGAGCTTGCCAGGCAAGTGCTTATTCTACTGAGCTATGTCCCTGGCCCTCTCTTTAATTTCTTACACTTTTTTTTTCTTTCTTTTCCCAATTTTGCATGCATGTATCTGACAATCTGAACAAGTAATTTGAAAACAACACTATGTAATACAACCAATACTGTTCAATTCATATTTTGTTTAGCGAAATTCTATATCATTTCTATTCTTCAACTATTTTGTACTCTTTAAAAATAAATAAAAGGGCCAGGGAGATGGCTCAATAGAATGAGCACTTGCCTGAGTTTAGTCCCTGGTTCTGCCAAAAAAAAAAAAAAATAAATAAATAAATAAATAAATAAAATAAATAAAAGTAACCAGCAACAACAATGCTAAATCTTGAGGGCATCATTTTCTTACATTTTATTTTATTCTGAGTACAAAGTACCATAAACTGTTTATATCCATCACTGGGCTACCCCTTACAACATGACAAATGTTTTGTTGTTCTCTTAACATTTGATGCTAAGATTTCATTCACGAAGTTGCAGGTAGCTGTACATCACACATTTTTATTGCTTCCACATGTACTTTCTTTTCTAAAAATATCCTTATAAGTGCTTATTTTGTTTCTTTATTTTATTAGAGCTTGTTAGGTTTGTTACAGTTCTTATTGACAAAATTTTGATCAGTTACACCTGTTGTACCTATCCCCTGGCTCCTGCTGTCTTTTCAATTTTCTTTGAAGTATGTTTTGATAAGCAGAAAATATATCCATCTTTTCTTTCATTTCTGGAACATTGTGTCTTAACCAAAAAAAAAAAAAAAAAACCCTTTACCTCTGCCATACCAAACCAGAAATAATCACTCATTTTTCTTCCCAAAGCTTTTAAAGTTTTGCACCTCACGGTCATCTGACAATGCTGACAATGATTTTTGTAAGTGGTGCAGGGGATAACCTTTATTTTTGTCTTATTAACCTATTTTCCAGTTCCAATTAATAAATGATCTATTTCTTCTCAGATTTACAATGCTTTGATTGGTCACATCAGCATTTTAAACAAAGGCTCTATTTCTAACTTCTTTATTGTTTTTGCATTGGTATAAATATTTAAACCTGCTCAAGTCCTATACTGCCCAAACTGCACAACAGATCTGATATCCATCACAAGGCCCATGTCCCTGATCTCCATTTTTTTCCTTCAGGACCTCTTCCTCCTATATCTGTGCATTTCCATATAAATTTTATAATCAATCTTATTCCTCCAGTATTATTAGGATGTAAGTGACAAGTAAAATTGCATTTAGATGTATGTTTTGAGGTATAATATATCATCATGTTGTGTATTAGAGCTCCAGAATTTAACTCAGTATAGTACTACAACACTGTACCCACTGACCAAAATCTCCCAGTTTTATCGACACCCCAAATTATCCTTCTATTCTTTGTCCTTTTGATTTCACTCAGGATAATATTCTCTTAGTCCATTCCTGTTGCAAGGGACAAATTTTCCTTCTTTTGAAGGCTAATAGTACTTTACTACACTCTTAATCCAATTGTCTATTGACAGACCCTTAGGTTGCTTCCATATCTTAACTACTGTCAGTACTTTAGCAATGAGCATACTCTTTCACATATAGAATTTTCAGTTTGAAGGTTTCAGTCCATGCTCATTTGGCCTATAGCTTTGGGCCTGTGGTACAGGAGAACGTCATGGTAGGGAGTGCTTTGTTGAGCAAAGCTGCTAATCTCTCAGGATATTTCAATGCTGAAAAGAAACAGTAAGATGGGCATTCTTTTTCTTGAATTAAAGAGACTATGTCGATGTAGTAGTGAGTACAAGGGCAAATTCCGAAGATGCTGCCCAAAAGAAAAAAGTGGTTCTGGAAAAGGGGGTAAAGAGGGAGCAACCTCTGGAAGTGATAGTGCTGACAAGAAGGCTCAAGGCCCCAAAGGTGGTGGCAATACAGTAATGGTCCCATACATTCTATGTGAAAGACACAGCAAAATTATGGAAGCCATGGAAAAGTTAAAGTCTAGGATGAGATTCAGGGAAGTAGCCACACAGTGTAGTGAAGATAAAGCCAGGCAAGGGGGTGACTTGGGTTGGATGACCACAGGCTCTATGGTAGGACCATTTCAAGAAGCAGCCTTTGCCTTGCCTGTGAGTGGAATGGATAAGCCTGTGTTTACAGACCCACCAATTAAGACAAAGTTTGGATATCACATTATTATGGTTGAAAGGAGGAAATAAAATTGTATGGAAGATAAAAATAAATAAAATAAAGAGACCACCTCTGATATTTTCCTTATGGGATATTGCAGACTTCTGGGCACATTTGCTTTAATATTTTTTTAAAAATTCTTGGGGCTGGTGAGATGGCTCAGTGGTCTAAAGCACCTATTTGAACAAACTTAGCAAAGCAAAGGGACCACGGTTCAATCCCCCAGCACCACATGCCAGCCAACCGCGCTCTCTGGTGGCCTGAGCTGGCCACACACACACACACACACACACACACATAAATAAATAAAAATTTAAAAAAAAAATTCTTCATTCACCAAAAATTTTACCCCAATTAGAATTCAAACTCATTTTATGTTTTCTAACTTGACCCAATACAATCTTTCCAGTTGTACTTTCTGAAACGCATGCTGCTCCTGTGCAAAATCCCCACTTTTAACCTTTTCTCTAAGTATCTTCTTTCTTTGGCATCTTATAATTCAAGCCTAGAGGTGAGTTACACATAATCTTTGCCCCTTGTTCTCTAAAATCTCTTCCAACTTATCCCACTTTTCTCCCTAAAATCTTCCACCACCTATGAAGTTCAAGGCACTGGTAGATGAGTGCTTGCCAATGAAGTGTTGTGTGACGATGGAGACCTATGTGCTGTTTACTACAATAATCACCAGTCAACATGTGGCCCTTGAGCACTTGCAGTGTGGCTAGTATGGCTGAGGAAGTGAATTTTTAAATCTATTTTTAGTGATATGAATTTAATAGCCACATGTAGCTAGTGGCTCTTATATTAAACAAGAGAATACTAAATTGCAACATTTATGTCACTGGCCAACAAGTCATTTACCCTTTATATGTAGAAGACTTTAGAAGTTGGGAGAAAAAGAGTCACCAAAATTATCCTTATTAAAAATATTAGTGATTGTAATCTTCACAGAGATAATATTCCCAGTGGGCTGAGATTTCTGATTTCTTGATTTTTCCAGTCATCTCATTTTCCCATAATTTTCAGCTTTGTTCTTTCTGCCATCTTGAATATGAGTTACTTGACTCTATTGGGCCTTCTAATCTAGTAACCACACCACCTTTTCACTATTCATCACCTCCCTCATATACCTGGCTCAATAAAACAACTCGAATACAACTTTCTTTTTGATCTCTTGTGCTACCTTTGATCCCTCTGGTACAATTGTGGAAAAAAAAAAATCCCAATTCAGGTTAAATACAATTCTCACTATGTAGTGTTTAGTTACACTGTTGTAGCTGCCTCAAAATTTCAAGCTGATTCAAAATATTTACCTGTCATGTGCATTTTAACTGAAGAGCCAGAAGTTGCACAGTGCCAGCTTCACTGAGTAAGGAAATGCCATGTCTTTACCAGCCTGTCTCTCCATGGATAGCACCGAGCAACGGCATTCACCATATATATTTTTGTTTCAGTCTCACAAAGACACTTGCACAAGAAGACTTCTGAATTGCCTCAGAAAGTAGCAAGAATGAAGGGATAAGCGTATTCAAAGTGAGGGGGAGTACTCTGAAGGGATTAATGCCAATGTTTTTTACCACACTATAATATATTTTTATGTAAACATATACCATGTTTTGATCAGCTTTTGTATCTGCAGATATGAAAATCCATACCTTTACCTTGTCAAAATGATAGAATCAAATATGATTAACATAACATCAGAATGTGGAACAATATTATGATTCCATGTTTACCATCAGATTTTCTACTAGGCCTTAGGGAAAAAAAAAAAAACCTTAATATTTCTGACTAAAAATTAATGGAAGTATAAATCACTGAATTTTTTCAAATTTAAAATTTTCCTCAAGCCCATTAAAATCATAATCTTAACAATGAATACCATTTTTGCACTTATACTTTCCCACCAGGTGAACATGAAACATTGTACTGTCAAAGATGCCTTAAAAAGGTTACAAAAATGATTCCCAACAGGGCAGAAACCAAACACAGAATTGTAAGCTACCCATAAATTACCTGACTTATCTGATCTAACATTTCAGAGAAAATGTAAAGTTCAAAGTACAAAGCAATTTAAAACTTACCTACCACCATAATATTAATCATACTAAGAACTACCAAAACAAAACCTAATGTCTTTATTTCTTGAAGGAAAACTAACTTTTTATTAACTAAGAAAGATTACTTACCGCCCATGTTTTAGTTAACCTGAAAATTGGGGCACTCTGTAAGCCAGAAACCACTGCCATAAGTGCATGAAGATTATTCAGTTCGTACAGTTTCTAAGGATTTAAGAAAAAGGAAGAGAAGGTAAAAAGTTTAAAAATGAATACAAGACAATATAGATTGACAAGCACAATTTAGGCAATTGATAATGGTCTAGTGTTTAATTACTTTCATGGTTGAGATTTGTCTTCAGAAATATCTACTATGTTTACAGAAAGTTGTTTTTGGCACATGATTAAAATTATCTTCTAAACTGACCACTGTCGCCAAGCTCTGGGAATAAATCTACCTCTAATTGGTAGCATATTTAAAAAACGAGTAATGACTCAGGATCAAATTTACCTGGTATGATCATGTGCCCTGGTTCTAGAAAGCAGTCTCCTTCCTCATACTGAAAATACTACTGATCCTCAGTCTTATGTTTCAAGTTTCAAAATAGAGGCTACTCAAGATTTTGATTTGCTTTCCTGTCAAATACTCCATTATTTCAGGGTTAGAGTTCAAATATGGCTTTCACTGTCCTCAATTTTCTGCTTCCTCCTGCTTCAAACCTCAGATCCTTTGCTTTTTATTCATTCTGGTACATTGCTTTTATAGTCTGTACAGAAAATGCCTAACACTAGGTTCCATCAATTTGCTAAGAATTCTACTTCACATATATTGCTAATTTTCCTGACTTTATGACACTATATCCCAAAGGTTCTATCTAAAAACCAATTATTTTAGAACTTTCCTAACTCTGTTCCCAATTAAGCTCCAGGTCTAGAAAATGCAAGAGGTGAGGCACTTCACTGAAAACTAAAAGAAAGAAAGAAAGAAAGAAAGAAAGAAAGAAAGAAAGAAAGAAAGAAAGAAAATAAATAAATGAAACAGCATATAAATCTTTACTCAGAGAGTTGTATTATCTAGCTGGGGAACTATTTAATTATTAATGATATGTTAAGCATTTAGGGCAGAGTAGGCACTAAGTTAGATTCTGTATTTGTAAGAATGAAAAATAAACCCACAGAGAAGAAATTCTGCTATAAGACTACTGTTCCACTCTGCATGAGTTTCCAGTCTGTTGGAAATGCCCCACAGATTTCATACTTGCCACCCTCTACAATCATATGAACCAACTCCCTAAATCTCTTCATGTATTTTATATTTAAAGCTTTATACATATTTTCACAGAATGTTATTGGTCTTTGTGGAAAGTACTGATTCACACAATCTACTAAGGAAAAGACAGACCTACTAGTTTTATAAAAAACTGAATATAGAAAGCAGAGATCAGAACTGAGGGATCTAAGAGAATAAGAAAAATTATGGTCTGAGATAAAGGCAATGCTATCAGAGATAACTCAAAGTCTTAACACTCTAAAGAGGAATTAAATGATTATATAATGAAAAGGACACAGTAGGTTTAATGACCAAAATTTGATGATTTTTGAGTAGAACATAGAAGCAAAATTTTAAAACTTTACAGAAGTATCAAAAAAAAAATGGAAATTCACAATCTATGAGACAAGTCATTAATTTCTACTTTCCTATGTAGAAATTTCTTTCTTTACAAAGAAAGTTTCTGAATTTTCATGACACTTCTAAAAAATAACAAGTAGAAGGCAAGCTCTGCCACCTAGTGTCCCAGAATATATTAGAGTACAATTGTTTCCATGTGCTTAAGCAAACTGGGAAGAGTTATGAAACAGTAACTGCAAACATGGTATCCTCATTTTAACCTACTCTCTTTGTTCACAGATGACATAAATTATGCATTTATAATCATAAAGAACCAATGTGGCCATTATTAACCACATTTCTTAGTGATGAATTTAACATAAACTTTCCTTTTTTAGAATGTCTTTTTACAGTCAAATAGCTCAGCAGATTAAAGTGCCTGCTTAGGCAGATACAGCAGCCAGGGTTTAATGCCTGGCTTGCCATGCTGGCCCCACCTCCGGGGCGCCCTGAGATGGCAATTGAGACTGGTGTGGTGGTGTGCACCTGTAATCTCAGCTCTTTGGGAGGCTGAACACAGACAGATCACTACGAGTCCAATCTATGTAGCGACACCCTATAGACCCCTGAGATCCTGTAGACACTTACTAAAATTTTTTTTTTAAAAAGTCTTCTTAGTTCTCTCATACTGTATTATCTGTACCACACAATAGTTATTCAGTGAACATATTTGCTAACATCATCATATATTATTCTTTAAAAAATAAAAGAATTCTTGTTCTCCACATGTCTGGCAGGTAATCTATTTTGAAGTAAATTTAAAAATGGCTATCTATTCCTCTATTTAATCTTATATGGCTTTTCTCATCACCTTCAGAATAGTGTAATATTTTATAAATATCATACTTTAGCATAATCTGACTTCTACTGATCCAGTGAAACAGATGATGCAATAGGGAGGATATAAAAGAAAGGTGAAGAAAACAAGAAAAATAAAGAAAAAGGCATTTAACTTAGTAAAGAAGAAAAGAAAACAGACACATTAATCAACAGGATTTATTTTCCACTATCAATAAACAATAAAGTATGTCATGCAAATATTCACTTAAAATATTTCTGAATGACTGAACTAAAGTTTTTCTTACCTTAGCAGTTTTAATATAGTGGCTCAAAACTTCAGCTCTAATTTTCAATGTTTGAGCATGAAGAATCTCTCTAACAACCCAAAAGCTCACCTGAAAATAAAAATTAAAAATTGCAGGACAAGATTAATTTGCTAGGATCCAATTAGTAACAAAAAAGACCAGATGAATTTCTTACAGCTGCATTATAAAACAATGATTTGGGCCAGCAAGATAGCTCAGCAGACTAAAGAGCCTGCTTAGGCACATTCAGGGACTGCAGTTCAATTCCTGGCATCACATGTCATGCCAGCCCTGGCCCTAGCGCAGGGAAGGCTGAAAACAGGAGAATCACTATGAGTTTGAGCTGTGTACTGAGAACCTGTAACAACCAAATACATTTAAAAAATAAATAAATAAAAAATTAAAAAATGAAACGATTTATTTTCCCTTTAACATCACCAAGACACAATTTCCAAATATTGCATACTTTTCATATAATGATCCAGATACAGGTATGTATGTGTGCATACAAACACATACACAGACACCGTTAACTTGTAAAAGTTAACATGAAGTGTTAGGGAAAAGAGATTTCTATAAGAATGTAATACAATTAGAACAGTATAGCATAAACACTGTACAAATATAAGAGGTTTTTTCTTTACTATATTTTGAAGCATACCAGCAGAATTAGGAGAGATCTAAAAGCAAACCTTGCAAAAGCTACTTTTTGTGTGTGTGGCTAGATAGCCCTATGCTGCCATATAAGGCTTAAGATTTCAAGTTGTGATTAACACAAAATGTGTGTTTGTATCTCCAAGTTAGCATCTCCAATAAACAGTATATTTTAAAAAGTTTACAATACTTTTCTAATTCAATTAAACTATTTCTTGATTGCCTTAAAAAATTTAAAATTCATTCACCAGAAGGCAAACAAAACAGATATTATTAAATATTCTGGTGGAAAGTTTGCTTATCATACGATGTAATAAGTATATTATGTTTTCTTTTGTGCATTATGAAAACAGAACCAAAGTATTATAAGTTATTTCAAACTTTTACTAAAAAACAAGATGTGGTTAGAAATCTTAGTGTAAAAAGTAGAAGATAACACTATATCCTCAGCTAAGACCTTAGTAAAAATCTAAATTGTATGATATGATCACTGATTTTTATTTATTTATTTTCTATTTAGTACAGAGTCTATAGGGTCTCATAGATCAGACTTGTAGTGATCCTCCTGTTTATAGCCTCCCAAGCACTGGGATTACAGGTATGCAGCAACACACCCAGCCTCAACAGCCATATCAGCATGCCCTGGATGGCAGGCTCAGGGATTGAACTCCCAGCCTCTGTGTCTGCCTAAGCAGGTGATTTAATTAAATTTAATGGCAGACGATTTTTAAGAAAAATACAATGGTGATTTTAAAATACAAATTCTCTGTTACTGCTCTCATCAAGAGTTGTTATCTTTCTCAGGATAAATCCTGAGGGGATTTCACTGACCTTCTCAGACCAAAAAGCTACAACTCCTATTGCACAGGTCCTGCTTTACCTTGGTCTTATCCATCCAGTAGAAAACTATGAAGACGAAATATAGGAAGTAAAGCCATGCTGTTATGTTGAGCTGTGGGGGACTCAGGTCAATAATTTCTGACATTGCCAGTTAAAC